CCTCAATGTGTACTCTATTATTCACACACAATAAAAATGTTAAAATAACACTGAAAGTCTGTCTTTGAAGTGACAGAAGCCAGAAAAATCAGAATTAAAGCTGCAACTCTAACTAACCTCTGTGTGTGCCTTTGGTAGCAGTCCAAATAGGGTTTCTGACCTTTCTTAAGCTACCTTTGTATTCTTTTTCTTGTTTGGTTTTTTTTTTTCCCTTTTCTTTTTTCAATTCATCTGCTTAAATGGAGACGGACAGAAAGAGATCACAGGAGGCTTCAGTGATGATACAGGTTCAGAGGCAGCAGAGCTGCTAAGTGACTTCAACTTACTTATTTTTGTAAATAAATGTTTAATTAATCAGACATTTTTTGTTTCTCAGTGTTTCTAGACATATGTTAACAAGTTTCTATTGTTCACTTCCAACATTTGCAACAAAATTTCATGCAAGAATTACTGATCCAAGTATAACAATACATTTATATTTTCATATATATGTGGAATGGTCTTACTCAAACACACAGGACACCAACAGTACTGCTGCTGATGTTTTGCACTCACTTGCAGTTACTAAAGGAACTTTTAACCATTTTCCTTAAAGAAGAGGCTGCAGTATCACGAGTTATTCCAAACTGGTTGGCGGCAATAGCAGCAGAGCATGGTTTACAAGGAATGCAAATAAATATATTCAATTCCAATTAAGGGGGTAATAGAGTTTAAAAAAATTCATAGCAATTTTTCAGCACTGAATCCAGACACTTATTAATTCAGATTTTACCATACGAAGTCTATGCAGAAGATATCGATGATATAATTATACTGATTCCAGCACATCTTTCTAATAAGCATCTACCAGAAGCACAAGCTTCCTAAATGATAGGATATAATATTCTTACTCTCAATAGTCTTGCAAGTATTTAAGGAGACTGGTATTGCAGTAGGTTTGAAAGCTGTGCAACATATCTAAAAGCCACACTGAACTGTGTACCGTTTGCCAGAATTGGATTATGCCCATAAGTGGCAATATCGGAAATACAACAAGTGAATACATTTCTCTAAGTTCTTAAAGAGTGCATAATTTATCAGGCTCTATTCTGATGGTGCACAACCTACTGATGAAATATGTATATAAACTTAAAAATGTAATTTCACCACTAAACTGTACCTGTTGTTAAGCATTTAAAAATAAATGAGTATATAATTGAGTGCTGGTAAGTACCTAGAAAAGGACAGTTTGAAAGATGCAGTTTTCCTCAGAAAAGGATACTTGCAAGAAAGAACTGCATACTGACGCCTTAAAAACAAACACACTTTAGAAACTGAACAATGTGTGAGGTGCTAGATCTCATTCGTGCGAAAGGCAAACTGACAAAAAAGGATGGTACGTTCAAGCCACTTGTTTGAATGGATCTGAAAACCTGACTGCATCACATTCTCAAAAGTCTCTCCAACATGGGACCAAGGGGTTCTGCACTTACCAGCACTCACGTTTCTTCAGCTCTCAGGGAGACAAAGTGTTTTCACAACTGCCATCTCCTCAACTCTCAGTCTCAAAATAAGATTGCTCTAGCCTGTCTTGTGCATCAGCAATGGGTTATGTGCATCAATTTCTGACCTTTGCTGCATCTTTGAAATATCACAAATTTCAAATCTACCTGCCCTAACACACTGGGCTGAACACCTTGTGTCACTGAAGTGACAAAATTGGCCGGCTGCATGCAGCACAGCAGCGGAAAATGTAGGCCTATAGCTACAGGTGGGTTAACAATTCCACTGGTGATATACAAGCTAGAAGAGCACACATCTCATTCTTCAGTCCCTCTTCTGACTCTGCAGTATGTTTTGAGGTGAAATGCAGTAAAAAACTTAGTCTTGTTGCTTTCCCAAGCATTTATGCCTCTGAAAACAGACATCTATTCTTTTGAGATGTCAGCTACTATTTTTACATCATTGGTTTCCAGAATAGATGTACAATTTTAATTTGTATCTTCCAAATTAAAAACATTTTAAAACATAATCAAGTACAAACAAAGTAGGACTAAAGGTTACTCTATGTGAGAACAGCCTTACGAACCAGCTGAAAGACATGATGCAACCACCAGACACAGCCTCATGATTCCCATTGTATTCATTAAGGCATAATGGAAAGTTTTAAATTTATCATCTTCTACAGTGTTATAATATTCTGTCAATTTTGTAACATTAATCTTGCTGCAGAGCTTTTTATAACAGAGGATCACTTAAAATAGTGTCACAGCCTACTGTTTAATGCACATAAAGTTATGTTTCATTAACACGACTATGAGTTTTTACTAGGAAAAATATATAGCACAGAAAAAAACTGAACATCTGTATATAATAGCAGTGATTCAAAAGCTTTTATACCAATAAAACTTGCAGTTTCATTTGAATACTTTTTTCTTTACCTAGAGGATTCTAGAACATAGCAGTGGAACAGAAACCCTGGATCAAGACAATCTAATGGAACAGCGCTATAAAACGGGCA